ACCGCATAAATCTAAAAACAACATAATCCATTCGGAAATAAAGGAAAGTACAGGTGGGTGATCTAAAACCCGGCATGAGAGTATGAAAACCGCGACTAGGAGACTCAGTCATAGACCGATTTAGGCGTCCTGGATGAGGACCACGGGATCAACGTAACCGATAGAGACAATGAGTGAAATGATCGTGTTGTAAACAGTGGTGGGGTATACGGGACATTTCGAATTCGAGGAAACGTTACCACGGCGCTAAAGGTGCTACAGTCTCGAGTACGCTGCTCTAGTCACGCTGCCATCATATGTCAACACATAACTGCTTAAGTAGGAGAAGCAATCCACTTGTCAGTAAGCATCAGTGGTAGACGATACCCGAACTTTGAAGATGGAAAGCACAAACCGAACGTGTGCGTCCTCTGAACACCCAAAGCAACAATGTCAACAGTGTGCTCCAAATCAGACAACGTTTTGCCAGCCGTCCATTGAGTAGGGCTTCCTCAGGAGCGGTACTCACTGCCTTCTTGTGATGGCGGTGTTTTCTCGCCAAAGTGAGAGGACTATAACCGGGTTGGTGGGCAATTCATCTAGGAGAGTTGGCTAAAAACCCTGATTCCAAACCAAACATGAGGAGGCGTATGAACCACACATACACACCTTCCTGGTTGTGGTAGTGGTCAGCGGTTAGATTAGGAATCGAGGTGTACTGGGCACCTTGGACGTTTGACGCCGTCCAAAGGGCACATGATCCGATGAATTGGACACCGGCCCCCAATGGATTGCGGTTTTTGTACACCGCCCCGCTGCCTTGTGGGTCAGGACTTGGCTAGCCGAAGGCTCCGGTTGTGGATTCCTCAAGAAAATTCACTTCCCTTGACCTGAACAGCCTGGCAGTATTCAGCTCACATGGGGAAATCATGGAACGTTTTTCTTTATTCATAAAGACTGTTGCACCATGATTTGTTTGGCACACAGTCTGGCGTCAGATGTGTGCGAAAATGAAAATAAAACTCGATGCTATCGATGAATGTGGTTAATAACATGTGATTTTGGATTTGCCAAATTTGTTTGCGGATTCATTTCCTTATGCAATCTCTCTCTTTCTATGGATCGCATCTTGTAAATAGTCGGGTTGTTCATTCTCCAATGGGGCCGAGGAAAGATTAGATCGATGTGCACAACGAAAAAAAATTGCTGGATTGATAGTCGCGTAAGATTAAAACCTAACTGATTTACAACAGGAATTTTGATGGGACTGAATAGTATTTTTCATCGAAATATGGGAAACAGCAGCCGAACAAAGTTGATTGATATGACACAGAAATATACAACTACACTATGATACGCCACAGGATCCCATGATGTATGCTTCACCACCAAATCAGCTTCAATGCATCGAAACCAGGAGATACCGTACTATTTAGACAATCATCAAACATTCCGTTTAGTTTAGACTCACAGAAAGTTTCGCCAGGAGCAATGGAGGATCGGTGATCAGGGACGAACTGGAACCTGCCTGTTGAGTCGCACTTAATCTGAATTGGAAGAGAAAATCGCATGGATAGGGACGAAAATAAATCATCATCAATCAGTATTGCGGGAGCGACCAACGAGCAGAGAGAGAGAGAGAGAGAGAGAATAGCAAAGACAAAAGAGCACTTCACAAACAGCATGAAAAGCTCACTGTTCTAAACATTATATCAAATATCGCATATTCAGTGTGTGTGTGGATATTCGTACGGAGCAATTGCTATACGAATTTTCACATCAAACGTGTCCACCTTGTGCATGATGAATGTGGTTAAACCTTTTGCATTTTAGGTGGAATTCACCGCTATTGACTGAACACAGTTTTACTCTAGATTGTTCCCCATCTGCCTCCGACAGTGTACAGAATCATGAAAAGCCAACGAGCAAGGTCAGCCATGTGAAGTACGTATGTGTCACCCCTGGAAATAACCTTCGCTGGTCCTTACATACCCAAACTGTTGCTCGCAAGTTGAAATTTCTCTCTTTTCAGATAAGAAGACTGCTCCACCTCTGTTCTGACTCGTCAGTGATAACCGCTTTCGTTCACCAATTTGTCCTCCCTATAGCCCTTTACTGCTCCCCTGTAATTCTCCGTGGTTTGCTGAAGACTGAGTTCAAGTTGCTGAGGCGTGACCTCTCAATGATCAACCGTGTCTCCTAAGTTCCGTTATCTGTTTTGATTGACAATACGTGTAATGCCCATATTGATGCGTGTTTGAAGTTTGCTGCATCCATCCCCTACACACTGACCTGTGTGCATGCAAATCCCACCCCTCTACCCGTTCCAAGTACAAATTTATCCCGTCTCGCATATCTGCATGCAAAAACTCTTTGGTACCCTATCTTGCCCGGAAACTGACTGGCAAGGAAAGTGTTCGTTCCAAGCTTTGTAATGCTCTTAGTAATTGACTCATTTTTGCACATTTCACGTCTCACTTCTCACCTCTTTTTATCATAATTGTAACGGTGGTCTATTTTTTAGCTAAAAGCTTGTACATAACTCACTAAAGCTCGAATACAATACAATACAATAGTTTAGATCTACAGATGACACGTCTGTTTTCTCACCGAGACGATTATCGCCGATGTAACTAACGACAGTGTTGTCTGAAGCAGCGTTTCAGACCATATTAATATCTATCCGATACTAACCAGTGATTCGGTTTCGTTTCCGAACTTCTTAACGAGCGATTACCATATAAATGAGATTTGGCGTGTGTGTACATGACGGACAACAGAACAGACGAAAACTGCATTAGAACGAGCAAATAACAGAACAGTTGTGCAAATTACCGAGGTACGACCCGATAAAGCAACACGGATCCCGATTGACAATAGACTGCCATCAAATTGGAATCGGTGAATTGGCCGCCCACGAGCGGATCCTCGGACGGACTTGGTTGGGCGCAAAACACCGAGCAGGTCATCGCGTCTAAAAGCTGTGGAATACAGCAGAGTGATCGAGTAAACCAAATTAGATTTATCAAGACCGTGTTGTCATTTAGTGCGTACACATCCGTTTCGTACATATATGGAACGTTGATGGAATACGAGCTTACACGCAGAGAAAAGATACCCCCCCCCCC